GTGCCTTCGCGAAGAGCTCTCAGTGACGACGAAGATAACAATGAGCAAGACAATCCTTCCAACGACAGTGACGACGACAACGGATCCGTCGCCCCGCCGCCCCGACGTGAGAAACGCACCGCGGCGAAAAAGCCGAAACACGAGTCTGTCCAGCAAAGGTCGACGCGTACCGGGCGAAGAGGAAACCGGAAATGAACCTGAATGGGTCGTGTTTTTTTTCATCAATTTTTGTAATGCAGTAAATAATCATTATAACCGAGTGGCATTCCCAGTCCCCTTGCCGAGATTGTTGCGGTTGGAAAATATTCTCGTATGTATCTTTTTTTTGTATTCAAGTGGAGATCGTCAAGTGCCTGGTGCGACATGTTTTTTTCACTTTTTTGTTTCCCAAAAAAAAAAAAAAGGTGATTCATACACATGTTTATACTTGCTGCCAGCTAAACGTTGGAAACCAGAGCACAAAGCCCACGTTTAAAAATTACACAACGCGCACACTCCAAAAGTCAAAACAAGCCATTACTGCCAAACTAGTTAAGACGTTCTCACGAAACGAATAGTTTTGAAGCTTAAGCGCATTTGCATTAAATGCGCGTTCCGCTGAATTAATCTCTCTATTCATCTCCGTTCCTGTGTTTCTTCGTGGTTTTCCGACACCAATATTTTTTCTTGAAAGTTAAATAACCACGACAACAACAAAATAAATAACGGCCGAGCTTGCAGAAATTCGATGGCATGTTTTTTTTTATGAAGAATGCGTCGCTTATCGTAAGTGAAACATTTCTGAAATTCAATCGAGAAAAAACTGGCCGGCGTCTTTTTGAGTGCTTCTAAGTGAGTACATTCAACAACAAACCAAAAAAGAAAAAAACTTCCGATTTGAGTAAAAGTTGAGAAATTTTCACAAGAAAGCCTTTAAATTCTTCATTAAAAAAATTTTTTTCGAGTTCCTTTGGACCTGAGTTAAACGTGGAACAGTGTGTTCCGCAATTTACTAAGGTCTAACCTAATTTTAGTCCTTGCTGTTGTAACTAAGTGAAATGTAGCGGGTTGTTTTTTTTAATGTTTGTATCAAATCGTTCCGAATGTCATATTTCGTAAATTTGTACTTTTCTGCTGTTGCAGTTGAAGTCAAAATGAACTAAAAGATGAACAACTAACTGTATTATGATGTCTTTCAATCTGCCGTATTTTAACTGTGGGGGGAAAAAAAGAACTGAGGCAAAGTATCCTGTGATATTTTGTCATAGTTCCTAACTTACATCATTTTTTTTGCGTTGCATTTTCTGCTTGAAAAGTTTTACGCATTATTTTTGCGCCGTAGTAAGTGTCCACTTACAATAACAAAGTCACTTTTACTCACTGAATAACGTCTTTCTTTTCTACCAGGAAGTCCAGCAGTTGCGCCTTAACAACTTCGTCCTTTGCGACTGCTTCTTCCTAAGAAAAGCCTTGGCCATCAAGATAACTCAGGTTGGATTTCAAACTGTTCTGAGATAAGTTGCTTCCATGGAATTATGATGACGTTGTTTTTTTATATTTTTGGTAGATCCTATATTATCTCCTAAACAAACTGGCACACCTCGAACTCGTAGAGTTCCTTGAGTTATCATGTCGAACGTCTGTTTATCGCAGACTTGGGCTGGCAGACCAGTGCTTACCAAGCAATGAAAAGTTTTCCTTGGATTTATCGATTTATGAACTGTACTATATTCTGTATATATGATGAGATTATGTATTTGTTCACTAGACTATGTGAATGCGAACCCGGTGAAAGTTTTGAAAGCTGAAATGAGGAAACTGTCGCAGATCAGGGAGCAATTTCCTGAGCAGCTTGCGAATGCATTTGGTGAAGTGGTGAAGAAGTCATGGAAAAATATTGTGAGTTACAGCACAGAATACTTTTTGGAAAACTTTTTTGGTAAAGAAATTTACTTTTTTGTTGCTTTATTAATTTCACAAATAAATGGTATTGTATATAGAGGATATGAGTTGTAGGATTTGTGAATGTCTGCACATGTCTGACAAGTTTCAAACAGATTGGAGATTTAGTCAGGGATGTACAACATATTTTTGTGGCCACTTTGCCAAGGAAAGTCTTTGCAGGCCACAATTGACAATATTTTTTTATATCTCATGTAGCAAAATATCACTTATTCAAAGGCTTGTGGGAAATTTGCTTACAGCAGATTTATTTAAAAGAGTTTCCAAATATCTCCTTAAAATTAAAAATTGAAATTTAATTTATTTCTATGCAATGAATCATAACCATAACCATGTGGAATGTTTGCAAAATTTCAAAGTTTTGTAATGCATATTTTGATAATTTGATGTACAGGTGGTAACCCTGCAATTTGACCCTAATTGGTTGCTGGAGTAGGGTCAAGTTGCAAGACACTGTAAAATGAAGTAAGAGCAGCACAAGAACACTGGAAAAGTGGCTGAAGGAAATTGTGGGGCAGGGGTCAAATTGCAAGTCAACCTCCCAGCAAATTTGACTGTTAAATTGTGGGACTGATGAATTTTGGGAGGTCAAATTGCAAGGCACCACCTGTATTCCAAAAATTGGCTGCTAATGCCTGGAAATCAGTGGGGAAGTTAATGTGGAATGTAACTGCTGATCTGATGGATTGTAGGTGACATCTATGCAATGGCAAATGAAAAGTCATGGATGTTGCCTCTCATACTGCACTAGCTCATGTTGTCATAAATTGTTTTCTTTGAATTGTTGGCATCTGAATGACGCTGCCCTGAATTAGGGCTAAATTGTCTTCCTTTGGAAAAAAAATTTGCCTTTGGTGAGCCTGTGAACCACACCCAAGTTTGGTTCCCAAGGACAAGGAGATTGTTTTTTTTGAAGATGGTCAAACTCAATCTTCAAATTTGATCCTGAGAGTTAACCTCAAGTCTGATTTCTCTTTCTACAACACATTCTGCATTGTGGTGATAACTCAATCCAATTCTCCTGAGAGCAAGCTGTTTGCATTAATTCAACAAATGCCATTTGAATTTGTCCAGTTGTGAATTCACACTTCTGCAATCTCATTTTTATTGTTTGAACAATGTATCAATGTTATACTAGGATGTGAGTCCCAGCTGCAGCCTCACTGATCAATTTGTTTTCCATCCAATCTTATCTTTACAACTTAGAAAGCTTCATTTCTCAAAGTTCTCAAATTTGTTCAAGCAAAGAATTCATCAGCTACTTTCTTGAATTTCAAGCTATCTTCTAATTTTGTGAGTGATCCTTAAATTTCCTCACATATATGTCCCAATTTTTTTTTGCAAATGTTGGAGCAGAAGGATGATTTAAATGTTCTAATTTGCAAAGGTGTGGTCAAAGACGTTTGAATACTTCGACAATCATTCTTAAAATTTATTTGCGAAAGCTTAAAAAATATTCAGTGACATTTTGTGGGAACATTACAGTACAGTATTTTGTGATGGGGAACATTAATACTGTACCTTACTGTACTGTGTGGGTGAACTCGCTTCATTACAAAATTTGAGGAACCAGATAATTTTCGTTACAAAGAGAATATCGTTGACCTGTACCTCAAATCATTCTTGATGGTATCTCAACTTCACCTGTTAGCAATGTGGAAAACATGAAGGTATTGAAAAGGATTTACTGACCTTTTTTGAAAATGACGCTTGCGAATTTCATTTCTCAGTGCTTCGTTTCAACTTTTCATTCGATTTTTTTCAATCATTTTTTTGATTATTCAACTGCATCTGTTAGCCATGGAATATTTTTTTGCACAATGAAAAATTATTTTCTTTTAAATTTCTCGCTGGATTTCGTCCGTCTGTAGTTGAAATTCGTTCGTGATTCGCAAGACCTAAAGAAGAAAAATCTCGTGTAATTTAAAGTGTTCGTTATTCATAAAATTATACAACAGGTCGTGTTTTTTTTTCGCAGTCGACCGAGTGTGACAGAGCTGTTTTGGAACACGCAAAGCAAGTTTTGGGCCCGTCCCGGGAACATTTGTTGGAGAGCAACAAACTGCCGAGTCAGGTTGACGAAGTTGCCGTTGAAGTTGACAAACTGACGCAGGTGGGTTTTGCCAAGATTTTTTTTGCGTTCATTGGGACTGTTTGAAACCCAATTCGACGTCCCTTCCTTTGTCTTGAGAGGCTTTGCCCATAAAATTTTACTGGTAGGGAAGCTTCCATTGAGCTCTTTTGATGGTTATGCTCCCATGAATTCCGCGGAAGCAGTTTATTCCAGAGCAAGACTTTACTGCTTAAAATGGGATTTGTAAATTACACTGAGACCCCAATGCGGATGTAATTGGTGCATCAAGAGTGTCCTAAGTTGAAATGTCACTTAAGTTGAGTCTCATTTTCCCTTGGACTTACATTATATAATTTTTAATTGGTGTTTTATGGAAGGAATATTCTTAAGAATTCCATGAAAATAAAAATTGTCTCCCAATTTAAACTGATTCAATCAATGCATTCCAACACAATATGGACATCTGGGGAATTGAATACTGATACCTATGTAAAGTACATAGAAATGTTGGCATTCTTTGTAAAAAATAAAATTCAAGCAAAAAAGAGAGAAAGAAGTCCCTCTTTGCTGAAGGTAATTTTTTTTAATTAGCTAAATGGATGGTAAATTGGTGAGAGAAATGCCCAAGAACTTGTCTTACATCAATTGAAGGGTTGGAAATACTGTATCTGTTTTTTGTTATTTGGCCTGAAATGCACAGTATTTGCAATTTTATCACAAAATGTCCCAATGTTGAGACAGTGTCCTCGTGTTGGAACTTTTTATTAATATATTTTTTGGGATGTTAAGTGCCCCTATGTCCAATTGTCTGCAGGTCGAGGTGTCTGCATGTGGGGGTCTCACTTGTATTTCCAATTTTATTTGGGGAAAGAATTGCCAGCATCTGAATCCATGAGAAAATGGTGCCATGATTTCAATGTACTGTGGTCTATTTTCTGTTGGGGAATTTTGTTGCCTGCACAAACTCACTTTTGATCAAAAAAGTTTAGAACTACAGTATCAGATTTACTATTTTACACTTGATTAGATGACGCTCACTTTATGTAGGACTGTTTTAATGCGTGTTTTTTTTTGCACGTTTCTTCACAGATCTCAGAAGAAGTGTTGAAACTGAAAAAAGATTTGGCCGTTCCGGTGGACACGCTGACATTGGTCATTTGAAACCCCAGCTTTACGGCGTGCACCTTTTCTTATTCCGTTCCGAGATTTTTCAAGTTTGTACTGTACCTAAAATGTTTTTTTTTTCTATGTGTGATGAAATGGATTTTTGTGTGAATGAAATGTTATATTTGGAAACGAGTTTTTGTACGAATCGTGGTGAAATTCCTGATGGTTTTTGTCCCGGACATCTGAACTGCGAATTGTGCACCTTAATTTTCTTCCAGACAGTTTTAAGGCGATTGGTTGCGGATTTCCGCGCAGGAATAGTTTTCTAGTCAAGGCTGTCGCACCTGATGTCGACCAAACGCGGCCATTCAAAGGTGAGAAATACTTTTCAAGTGCCATAAGTGCATTAAAGTACTGTACATATCATCAGGTTGCTGGACAGAACTATGCTGTGGAAAGGT